TCAGATTTGCCAGATTTTATCAGTTATTTGAAATATGTTTTTCGAAACAGTAATTTGACCTTCAGTTTTGAGTATTTTGGTCTCTCCCCATTCAAAGAGAGACAGGACTCTGGTCTTCTGTGGTTGGAAATAACTGCTCGGTGGTGTTGCAAAGATGGCTGCTGAGTAAACAGACTTTCCTGGGAGATGAATAAATAAGGAGAAGGGCCACTGGTTGAAATATGAATGGGAAAGCTTATAACACTAAACATAGCGTCTGTTGGAGGAGAAAGTCCCGCCTTTCAATAGAAAGAGCCAATCAGCTTCCTGGTTATGCTTAGAGCAGAGAAGCATCAATGATATTGTGGCACTAGCAGGGAAAGTCACCCTCGTTGTGGAGATCCGGGCAAGCACAGTAGCCAGAGCAACAAAAAAATCATGTTTTTTGTGCATTATTGAACCAAACGCTACAAACTATTTATGAAGTTTTTGTAAGATTTTATCAGTTTTTTCAAGTATCCTTTTTAAACCTTCAGTATTTTGGTCTCTCCTCAATCAGAGAGAGGAGTCTGGTCTTGTATGGCTGGAAATAACTGCCCAGCGGTGCTGCAAAGATGGCCGCCAAGTGAACAGACTTTCCTAAAAGGACTTAGCTTTCTTATATGGACTTTGGGACAAGCTAATCCATGAGGCGGAGAACAATGTATGAACATTTCGAATGTTTTGAAATTTTAAAAAGACTTTGCAAGCCTGCTGGGAGTTTCAGTTAGAAGTACCACGTTTTAATCTACTGTGAGCTTCTGATATTGCTTTTAAATGGGTAACCCATCTGCAAAATGTGTAGCTGGTTCTTTCAAGCTGTTAGCTGAGAAATTCATAGTTTGGTTACATTTTGTCTTGACAAACTAGACATCATGAAGGTTCTGCTAATAATATCTAGCTAGTGCATAATGCTAATGCTAGCTAGCCATTAAACAGTTAAGTGTCTTTGTAATGGAAATCTACTCTCTCTCTCTCGCTCTTCTGTAGCTTTTGATCTGTAGCTTATGGTCTCACTAAATAAGTCTGCAGAGCTGACTAGAATGTGGATCTAGTACATCACAGATCAGATAAAAATCAAAGAAAACAGAAATGTTTATTTAGCCATTCAGACACAGCTCTGGTTAAACAGCACATATGAAGCATTGCAGTGAGAGTGCAGATAAACATCAAACTCAAGCTTTTTTTTATAGATCGAATCTTATAGATATAATTGAATAAAACTTTCATTTATCATGTTTGTAATCAGTTTTGTTTTATTGGACACATAGTAGCTCATTAAAAAATGGACATGTGATAGAAAACATGTTGAAGATGGACGACAGGACATTCAGTTTTATTCAGGGTGCTCAGGCATTTCCTCCATTTACTGCCATTCACTCACTCAGAGCCGTTGGTCACACCCATTATGCCTTTTAGGTCTGGGATTCCTGTTTCCCCCTGGGGTGTAATGTCTGACTGTAATTATCCTTTATAGTATTTTTTATCAAGTTATCTCCTCTACCTCCAGCTGTTATTCTTTTATAACTTCATTTCTAATGTTGCACAGCTTTCTTGTGTTTCTCATTTCATGATCACCTACAGATCTGCTTCTCATTGTGGACACATCTAGAGGTACTTCACTTTTTTTATGATTTGAAAGCTGGACTGCACAGGACTATCACATATCGCTGTTGTCGGAAGAAAAACTTTGCAGGAAAAGGAAAAAAAAACTACTTTACTTTTAATGTAAGTCAAAGAAACCAGACTTTTTTCCAAGACATTTCGGGCCGTTTTGTTTGGTCCGTTCTTTATGAAATTTACACACAATTTAAAGGGCAACAGCTGTTTTCAAATTATGCCAAAAACTGCAAATTTTGCAGAAAACCGACAAAAATGGAGATACGAGGTTTTCTTCCGACAACAGCGATACATGTGTCGCCAACCAAACTGGTTTCACTGCTGGAAACACTGATTCCAAACCTTTGCGTAAACAGTAGTGTATCTTATTTTGTTTGGTGTTTAAATGTTTTGGAAAAGGATAAAAAAAAAAAATCCCACACCGCGTATATAAGGTGAAGTGATGTAAACCCCCATCAGTAGTGCATTTTTCTTCATATAAACACAGTCAGGTCCATAAGTGTTTGGACAGTGATGCAATTTTTGTCATTTTGCCTTTCTACACCACCACAATGGATTTGAAATGAAGTAGGCAAGATTGAAGTGTTTAAGCTTTAATTCAAGGGGGTTGACCAAAAATATTGTATTAACTGTTTAAGGAATTACAGCCATTTTTACATACTTCCTCCATTTTTACAGGCCCAAAATCGACTTATAAGCAGTTCAATGGCCAGGTGTGGCCGGTTCCCCCATTATTTCCTGACAAATTAGGGAGATAAAACATCTGGCGTTGATTCCAAGTGTTGAATATGCTTAACCACCACCCCAATAGGTTCTCAAGATGTGATCGAAGTCTAGGCTGTAAAAGTGTTGAACTGCTACCAAATGCATATTGAACACTTGGAATCAACTCCAGACCTTCAATCACCTTAATTTGCCAATGAATTGACAAGGGAACCGGCCACACTTGGCCATGACGCTGCTTATAAGTCAAGCTTGAGCCTGTGAAAATGGAGGGATGGTGTAAAAACGGCTGTAATTCCTAATTTGGTTAGTGCAATTTTTTGGTTAAACCCTTTAAATTAAAGTTGAACGTCTCCAAAAGTTGACTTATAAGCAGTTGAATGGCCAAGTGTGGCCGGTTCCCCCATTATTTCCTGACAAATTAGGGAGATGAAAGGTCTGGCGTTGATTCCAAGTGTTGAATATGCACGTCCTCTGAACACAATGGATTTTCAAGATGTGATCGTCTAGACTGAAGTGTTGAACTGCTACCAAATGCATATTGAACACCTGGAATCAACTCCAGACCTTTCATCACCTTTATTTGCCAATGAATTGACAAGGGAACTGGCTACACTTGGCTGTATGGCTGTAATTTGGTTAATGCAATATTTTGGTTAAACCCTTTGAATTAAAGCTGAACATGTGCACTGCAATAATCCTGACAGCTCCATTTCAAATCCACTGTGTATTTGCACAAAGGCAAAATTACAAAATTTCTGTCGCTGTCCTAATACTTACGGACCTGACTATGTGTTGATGTCTCTGTCAAGGTGACAAGGAATTAGATCAAGTGGCCTGAAAAAGGGTCCTGGCGGAAAGCGGTCATCCAGCCTAGACTTCAGAAATAAGTTAGAGATAATTGATTGTGTTGAGATTAGATTTGAGACCAAGCGGTCGGGGTGCTTCTTCCTCAGAGTCACACTTCCTGTAGTCTGACATTGATGAACTTGCCTTTGGTAAAAAGAAAAATTGGTTCTCTCAGAACACAGTGCATGTTCCTTTAAAGGCACGGTGAAAGTGCTCCTGCGTGCGCGAGCCAAGTTTATCATTAATTATCTCATAATTTACAGGTTCTGTCGCTCTCCTCTCAGAGACCGTCTAGTCTGTATCAAAAACACTGCGACTGTAAGTCTGTAAGTCTGAGACATTTTATAGAAAAGCGTGTCATGAGATTGACCGCTGGTTGCAAATCACGTGATTTAGAGTAAGTCAGAGGGTGAGAGTGAAAGTAAAAGAAGAGAGCCTGTGTGCGTGTGACTGTGTGTGTGTGTGTGCGCGTGTGTGTAACAGAGGGAGGGTGTGTGGTTGGCATTGTTTTTATTTTTTCAAACGTATTATGTCTCCAGCTGGCCAGGTAGTGTGAACGCGCTTGCAGACTTGCAGCGAAAACAAAGTAAAAGTCGTGCAAAGCACTAAAACTGTTCTAACAGTTTTGGTTGTAGGACGATTCATATATACATATATATAATATGTGTATACACTCTGCTGATAAAACACCAAGGCAATTACAATTCTATTACAAAACATTTTTGTTTTGTTTTTTCAGCAGGGATATATATATATATATATATATATATATATATATATATATATATATATATACGCACTATGGAGCGCCTAAGTTGACATGGTGTTTCATTTTTAATAAAGCGTGGCCACAAATTAATATATTGTGGCGATGAGAAATAATATCCACATATATTTTTCCTTCAGAGCTCTGCTTTTGACAAAACGTATTGAAAACCTAATTGCTTTTATTAAAATGTATAGTTTTTCATAATATAATATATATATGTGCGTGTATCTTGGAGAAAATGTCAAATCTTCAAACATTGGTGCTGCGTTTAAAACCTTTAACTTCCAAATCAGCTAAGCTAGCATGTCAAAAACACTAGTGCACCACCATTAACACTGCATTTGTGGATTTGGGACGCAGCCACAAATATTTCTGAGAAGGCACTGGAGAACCAGCACTGGCTAAACCCTGAAATATCATTATGGCAAAATGTGCAGCTGAGTCTGACAACTGAGCTCGTTTCTTTGGCCCTCCGCTGTGTCTGGTGACCAAAATGTGCCCGTGATGGTCGAAAACGTCAACATATTTGATGAAAAAGGCGGTTAAAAAGGGAAAAGAGTCCAAATATTTCATTGTGGTTTGTGAGGTAAACGAAATGTTAGCGTAGTTGCTACGTTATGCAGAATGCAGTGAGGTAGCCCGCAAAGGGAGGAATACAAACCAGGGCGCGCGCGTGTTCTCCGTTTGAACTGTTTATGTATGTGTTTGTGAACGCGCTTGTCTTTCTATCCTTGCGAGGACCACATGCACAAGTGAGGACGCTTTGCTCGTCCTCTCTTGAGCACGAGTTTTATTCACTACGGATTATTGTGGTTAGGCTCAGGTTTATGTGCAGGTGTGATATAACTTGGCTGCAGTAATACAATTCTCAATAGGAATCTGTGGAAGTCCTCACAACTAATGTAAAAACACACATACGTGTGTGTGTGTGTGGGCGTGTGTGTGTGGAGCCTTTACAGCGACTGGCAGCCTCCGATTGGTGGTGCGGTAGCTTAACGTTCCCCAGCCCGACTACAATTCCTCTCAGGCACGACTGAGCGAAGCTTTCACTTTCGCTTTTTCCCAGTGTGTCAGCGGAGGCGACATGTTTTAGTCTGAAGTGATGTTCTCACAATGTAAGAACGTCGACAGGACACACGACTTCAGGAGATTTCAGGTTGGTTGCGGTCACATTCAACGTGTAGCGAGAAAGACAGCGAGTAGTTGACGTGAGACGGACTGGCGAACGGGAGAAAAAGCTGGCTGACGTGAGGCGACCCGGCTATGGCTCAGTGGATCGCAGGACGTCGACCTTTGATGTGAGGTTTGGTTCTGTGACACTGTTTGTGCTTGATAACCGTGTGAGACGGTGTGCACAGGAGTCTGCTGAAGTGCTGTATGTGTGTAAGGGTGTTAGTGTGTGTGTGTATGTGAGCAGACTGAGCCTTTTCTCTGCTCTCAAACAGGCCAGTGTCGTGTTGTCAAACTGTTGTAATGGCTTAAAATAGTTCAGCAGAGCTTTGGCATTCTCCCCTAACATGGGTCTTTTGAGTGAGAACAGGTGGCGAGTAGGGCGAGAAGGATGTCTTAAGTTCTGTCATATACTCTTTTAACGCACACGCGCTTGATGTGTTTAGGCATGATCAAACTCCTCCTTCTTCCAGCCCTCACTCAGCTAAATGTCTTTGTCTCTTTCTCTCTCCGCTAGTCAGCCACGACTCACTTCTGCATGAATAGAAGCCATGGAGATACTGTGCGACGGCTGGAGCCTGCTATAGAATGGTCCAGCACAATGAGCCTGACCATGCAGCTGCGCCAAAGGGTCCACCCAAGCCAACTGAGGTCCCCCCTGCACCTCCTGCCCCGCCGACACACTTTCATCCCTTCCGCCACGCGCAGGACCGCTCCCTCATCACCCAGGCCATCCACTTCTTGGAGAACAGTGGATTTTACTGGGGACCGATGGACGTGGACGAGGCCCACATGCAGCTGGCCGGCCTGCCGGTCGGGACGTTCCTGATCCGGGACAGCACACAGACGGACGTTTTCTTCACCCTCAGCTACCGGGCCGCGGATGGACCCACCAGTGTACGGGTGCTGCTGAAAAACGGAGCCTTCAGTTTGGATGGGAGCAAACACACCTTCCCTTGCCTCTTTGCCCTGCTGGAATTTTATATCTCATCCCCTAAGAGGAGTCTGAAAAGGCCCTATCGTGGAGCTGCACCCCAGACCCTTCAGGCGCTGTCCAGGAGGGCCGTGGTACGGACATTTGGCAGGGAGAGCATTGAAGGGCTCCCTGTAAGTGTTGGCCTCAAAGAATTTCTGAACTTATATCCTTTCGCGACATAAAGGGTGTGTACCTGCACATGTGCACCATGTGTGTTTATACAAAGATGTTCTGATTTTAGAGCAGCTATTCAGACCCTGCCTGCAGGGATAGCTCTTTGTGAATTCTGTGTTTGTGTGTATGTTCAAGGATTTATCAGTACTGTTACCATCAAGTGCACTACTACAGGATTTCATCCTTATTTCATCCGCCTGCTGTGCAGACAGTGTTTCATTTCAGATAATGTCCTGTAAAGAAACATAGGAAATGTCACAACAACGCTTTTGTTTTGTTTTGCAACGGTAAATTTACAGATCAGTACAAACTTCAAGATTCTGGTACACATAATTTATATATAAGTAAATAATAGATTGTTAGGTTTCAAGCAGTGTTTTAAGCCAACACAGCAACTTCATCGTCAGTTAGACCTAATAAACATGAATAGTCCAATCATAACAGCTGTAGCTTATTTCACTGGTCAAAGTAGCATGCGGTTCTCAATTGCATTAATTTTTTTTTGACTACCAAAAGGATGTAAAGTAAAATAAGTTAAAGCTCTCATATTTATCAGATAATCTGATAAATAAGATGCTTTTTAACTTTTTTTTTGTACTTCAAGTTAACATTATTTGCTAGGTATTGTCTGTTTTGTCATATGTTGGTAAAACTATTAAAGCAATGCAAAAACTATCTAAGCCTACCTTCCCAAATTTGTTCCCACCCCTTTCATGCAATAAATCATCTGATCACTGGCGCATTTAGGAGAAACAGAAACAGAAACTGGTTCTTCTTCAGAATTTCTGACGTGTATGACATCCTGGTATGTTGATCTGTCTTCTTACTGTTTCCTTGAATCCCGGGAAAGGCAGGCAGTTATGCTGAAAAGACAAAAGCCTCAGTGGGGTTTTATTTGAGTGGTCTGCCAAAGTTTCCCACTTCTGCCACAAACTTAAGACTATGGCTGAAGTTACTTGTTTCGTGGTGGGTGAGCAGCCCCATCTAGTGGACCAGTTTGGACAAACTCCAGTTGGATCTTCTTTAACAGCACCCAGCTTTAACTCTCGTGTCAAGACACTTGTTTGTCGTAAAATAAGACATGATAAAGTGAAATAACTTGAAGATAGTTTTGTGAAACGAGAAAGTGTCCTGCAGCTTATAGCTTTAGAAAGATCTAGAGGTCTGTACATGCCTTAATTCTCCAACTGTGAAATATACGCTGCTGTAGCAGGCCGTAGGTCATGTCAGGTACTTGATTGTGGCAGTAAAATAAATAACAATAAATATAACATTGTGATAGTTGTATTGATTGAAAAGAAAACTTCCTAAATTAGTCCAGATCATTTAAAAAAGATTACAAAATAAACTTCACCACTAGAATCACTAGAGGTGGCCTAACTTGTGTGGCCTCCATCACAAGTTTGGTAGTTTTAAAGGCCCCATATTCTCATATTTTTCTTTTTTTTTTCTACCGAGATCCAGTTATTATGTTTGTGTGGTAGCAAAAATACCCTTAATTCATTTTTTATGCAACCATATTCCAAGCTCTTTTTACGCCTTAGAACCGAACAGACTGTTTTTGTTACCGTGTCATTACGACTGATGTATGTAAATGATCTCTATTCCAATTGGCTGCCTTGTAGTGTGTCACAGTCTGGGTTGAAACACTCTGAGCTAAACTGCTGTTGGCTGATTTGATGGTTTGCGTGACATCAAAAAAGAAACTGCCTGTTTTTGGTTTTGTATATAGACTGTATGGACTGAAGAGTGAATAGTTCTCTGTGAAACTTCAACACTGTTTACAAATTACATTAAACTCTTTTATGTCAAACGAACACGTTTTCCATGATATGGTCCTTTATCTTGCAAATCGTAGGTGGAGCTCCAGCTTGAAAATAAAAGCTGAAACACGTAGAGCCAGTTTCCCAGGCCCACTGCAAGGCTGATCCTAGATGAACATGAATTTCTAATGGTGACTCATCATTAACATTTCAGTTTAGTCTAGAACAAGGTGGAAGTAATGTCTGGGAAACCAGCCAAGAAGATTTTGGAGAGGATTGAAAAAGCACAGGAATGGACACAATAGTGAGAAAACAACTATTATATTTGACCACACCATTGAAATGGAAAAGCCTGTTGAAAAAGCTTTATCAGCCTCATATTTTGGCTAAATTCCAAATAAGGGGTTATGACATAACCCGTTATGGTGGCTAAATAGGAAGAATTGGGTGGACGGGTTTGGGTGGTGCGCTAGAACTGATCCAAATCCCCCTATGCAGAAACCAACCCCACTGCCTTCATTCTACACTACCACCAAACATAGACTGTCACCATCACTGCCAATAGCATCTTTAAGAAGTAAAAAATTTCATCCAAATACTCACTTAAATATTTCAACTATGTACAGGAATGGAAAGCACTTAAGTGCTTCACTACTATATGTAAGTATGACATTGGAAGATTTGTACTTTACTAATTAATCATCATTAATTTGGCTTGATAAAGCCAACATACTGTTCTGTGTTATCTGCTTATTATTCTGCGCTTTATGGTACTGTTTTCATGGCTTACAGTTTTCAATCTAGAACCACAAAACTGCAGGATCTTAGAGCCTATATGGAGATAGGCTTTTTAGACCAATTGCACATTTAGTTTCAGTCAACCTTCATTCAGATGCAATTCTTTTCCCCATAGGAAATGAATGGTGAAAAGTTGAGAAAGTTTAAATCTAACTGCCACAAATGATAACACAAATAACATCTTTCACACTGACCCTCATAGATATTGCATTTAGACTGACATGTAAGCAACTACCTGGGACACCATAGCAGTCACCTAGGACAACACAGCAACAGCCTTCAAAACACCTTGGCAACCACCTGGGATACCAAAGCAATGGCCTAGAAACACCTTAGCAGTTTGATAGACATTAAATACAGACTCACATACATACTGGCAAACATATTCACAAATATTAGCAACCACCTGGAACCATAGGAACAACCTGGCAACACTGCAGCAACCACCTGGGATACCATAGCAACAGCCTAGCAGCAGCTTTGTCACAACTTAGGATACTATAACAATGGCTTAGCAACACCTTAGCGACCACCTGGGAAACCATAACAATGGTTTGGCAACACCTTAGCAACCACCTGGAATAATAGGAACAGCCTAACAACACTTTAGCAACCACCTGGGATACCATGGAAACAGTCTAGCAGCACCTTAGCAAACACCTCAGCCTAGCATCACCTTAGTGACCACCTGGAACACCATAACAATGGCCTAGCAACCACTTAGCAACCGCCTGGGATACCATGGCCACAGCCTAGCAACACCTTAGCAACCACCTATGATACCATGGCAAAAGCCTAGCAACACATAAGCAACCACCTGGGACACCATAACAATGGCCTAGGAACATCTTAGCAACCACCTGGGATACCATAGCGACAGCTTTTTCAGTCCAATTTAAGGTTTGTTCATAAACTTTCCACTTCTAGTTGAAAAGAAATACTTGCACTCTTCCTCAATTACATTTCTAAATTGAGCTGAATTACATTTCACAGTTTTATGTTTAAACTTTCAAAATGCTTATTACAAATCCAAAAGGCCTGGAGGTTTTTCTGTTTTTTTTTTGTTTTTTTTTTCCCCCACACATTGGATTAAAAAATATATATATATTTATAAAAAATATTACTATAAAATGAAACTGCCCAAAACTATGGCAGTTCATGTTTGTGTAAGAACAGGACCACATATTAGTCACACCCTGAATTTGCTGAAAAGACACAATACAGATGGATTCGCTAGATTATGTTACACAGTGTTAAACTGTTTCGTTTTTACTTTTACAGTTATATGCAAACATTTGGTTGCCTCTGGTCAGATTTCATGTTTTTCTAAGTGAAAATAGGTCACCACATCCTCTACAGAGACCACACTTCTGAACATTTGAATGCTTATTTGCTTAATTTCACATATGGCACATTTTATTTCAAATATGTTATACACTATTATAAATTACAGTTCTTCAAAAGTTCTTTGGTAAAGAAAATGGTTCTGTATAGAACCATGAACACTCAAAGAACCCTTTACATGATTAAAGGATTCTTTGCATTGTTAAATGGTTCTTCAGATTTACAGAGAATGTGCTGTAGATGGTTGTACATAGAATCTTTTTGAAAAGGGTTCTATCTAGCACCAAAAAGTGTTCTTTTATTTGTATAATGTCAAGCCAGTAACAATAGAAGAACCCTTTTTGGTGCGATATAGAATCCTTTTCAAAAAAGTTCTATATGCGACCATATAAAACACATTTTCCATCAATCTGAAGTCCAATTTAACAATGCAAAATACCATTTAATCATGCAAGAGGTTCTTAAGAATCCTTGAAGAACCATCTTTTAAAAGTGTATTTATAGCAAATAAATACACATTTTGCATTTGCAGAAAAGCCATCTTTAAGTTTGTTCCCTGTAGAGAATTTGTTAAATATAAAATATGTAAATCGACTGGGGGTGTACAAACTTAATCCAAGTATGAATAAATGTCAATGACTTTGCACTTCACTCATATTTTTGGCTCCATACTTCCACTTTCTGTTGAGTATGATTCTGATGTAGTACCCATACTTTCACTGAAGTACACAGAATACAGTAGTTGTCTGTTTTTTACACTCCTGATTAAGAGACTTCAATTAACTTTGATGCTGAAATGAATATTAAACTCAATATTTAAAGTTTATTTCACACAACATGTTGCACAGTTCTGTAGACCCATTCTGCAACAGTACCAAATTACTTATGCTCGTTTCCTTAAACATGCTTTATCACAAAAGATCACGATGACTGTGGAATGACTTACACTTGAGAGCAACTGCAATCTGGTGACCTGATTAGCTATTTAGCAGAAACACTGCACACAAGCATGGAAATATATGAGTGCAGATTAGTGACTGTTGTTGACCATCCCTGCACTTGTTTTGAGTTGGATGGATGCATTTAATATCAATGTAGTACATGCTAGTTGCTATAATTAAGCATGGCATCGCTAGGGCTACGTACTTGGCAAAGGCTAAAGCTATATAGCTTATCTTTTTCATCTTGTCTAATTTCCTGGCCTAAATTTCAGCAAGATAGATGCCTTTTGTGAAAGGTAAGTCACTTGTTTCTTACTGATTGCAGCACTGATATTGACTAGTTGCAGCAGCATGATTAGCCTTTTGTTGAGTCGGCTCCTATTGCAGACTAAATACAGACACTATATATACAATTGACATAATTAGATACATATGACCTCTGCAGCAGCCACTAAGATGGCTAACTAGCTACATTATATGACCAAAAGTACGTGAACATTCAAACATCTCATTCATATATGCTTGTTGAACATTCCCCTCCAAGACCACTGGCATTAACATGGTGTAATATCCTTCCCTGGGACGGCTTTCCACTACATTTTGGTATACGACTGCAAGAACTCGCTTCCATTCAACCACAAGAGCATGAGTGAGGTCAAGCACTGATCTTGACCAATAAGGCCTGGCTCGCAGTTTGCCATTCCAGTTTATTCCAAAGGTGTTGGATGGAATTGAGGCCAGGGCTTTGTGCAGGCCAGTCAAGTTCTTCCACAGACACAAAGTTGGCAAAGCATAAGTTTATTGACTGCTCTCTTTGTGCATCTTGCCAAAATTCTTCCACAAAGTTGAGACAATACAGTTATCTAGAATGTCAGTGCATGCTGTAACATTAGGTCCCAAATCATAAAAAAATGGCCCCAGACCATAATCCCTCCTCCACCAAACTTTACACATATTTGGGCAGGTAGCGTTTCTCAGCATCTGCCAAGCCTAGATTCGTCTGTCACACTGCCAGATGATGAAACCTGACTCATAACTTCAGAGAGTGCCTTGCATTGCTTTCACAGGCAGTTTGGGGCTTGTTTGTTCCAACAAAGCAGGGGTCGGGATCCCAAATGTTAAAAAGAGCCATTTTGTCCTTTCAATAAAAATCAAACCACCTTGGGAGCCACAATGTTTTATGTCCATTTTACCATATTGGTTGTAAATATGTCTCATTATATGCTAATTTACTTGTCCTATAAACTAATGTCCTATAAATGAAACCGCTTTTTCCGCATCTCTGGCAGGAAAACTTTTCCACAAAAGTAGAAGTTTCTTTGAAAACGTTCGACTTTATATGAGGCTGAAGTCAGTTTCTCATTCACCAGCTTCTTGTTCAAATGGCCATATGTTGCCGACCTCTGCAGGAGAGGATAGATGTTATTGACACGTTGCATGTTTCAGCACTTGGCAATCAGTGAGCTTTAGAGGCCCATCGCGTTGTGGCTAAACTGTTACTGTTCCTAGATGTTTCCAAGTCATACTAACTACACTTACAGTTGACCAGGGCAGCTCTAGCAGGTCAGGAAAATTTTACCAAATTTGTCGGAAATGTATCACACCCTCATCACTTTGGTCAAAATAACAAATCGATATTCAATTTGATTTACCCACATTGTCATAAAGCAACTACAGAAATCCTCATTCATAATGAGCAAGTTGAGGGCGACAGAGGTGGAAAAAACTCCCTAAGAGCAAGAGGAAGAAACACTGAGAGGAACCAAGACTCAAAAGAGGAAGCCATCCTTATCTAGGCGGCACGAGATAGTGGAGTTATGATACAAAGTGGAATTATGATTCAACACCGACGGACTCACAGAACCTTTAGTCATATATGGACAAATAGGAAATTGACTACAATGAAGTCTGGCTGTTTGTGGGGACTCCAGATAGACCATCCTTCAAATAAGCCTCTATAGCCAAAGGGGTTATCTAGCTAAGCGCACAACAAAGCCTGACATTCTTAACAATGATAGATATTAAAGATTATAAAAGTCTTTTCAAAATATGTCAGATTCCATAGAATGACTTAATACAAAAAGTCAGCCCTTAGTTTCCAAATGAGGTGTTTACCAAGCTTTTACCATGCACAGCAGTTCTACAGTAGTTTAGACTGATATTGTAGAACCTGAAATCAAGGTTACTGGAATACTCACAAAACTGTGAAGTGTGATGGGAGCATTGGTTTATTTATACATCAGTTTGGCTCATTGGGCGCCAGAGAATGTGAGAGGTGTTTAAAATTAGATAAAGCATCTGAGTCATCCTAATTTTTATGCCCTTCTTCTCTCTGGATTTGGTAACTTGATCTGGTGGCCATGTGGATCCACATTACTTATATATTTTATGAGGTCTGTGGTCAACAGCCCTGCTAGAAAAAAAGGCACCAGCAAAACCAGCATAGGTTGTGTTTTAGATGCTGGAATGCTGGTCAGCAGCAACGAAAGCTATTAGCCTGATCACCAGAAAAAACAGCATATATTGTGCTTTGGATGCTGGTATTCTGGTCAACCAGCATGACCATGCTGGGTGACTAAACCAGCACCAGACCAGCATAAACCAGCTTCTGGGCTGTTTTGTTCAAACGAAATCAAGGAAAGCAAGATCTATTCATCTCGACACAGCCTATGTGGCCTAATCTGTCTCTAAAAACCCTGGGTGGCTCTGTTAAGATGACAAAAATGGGAGGTGCATGCAGATGCGTGGAGTTTTTCCCCCACCCATATTCCGGTAAGCTCCGCCTTCTTGTCCTATTATTATTATTATTATTATTATGTAAAATAAGCTTGGCCAGTAGTTCATATTCACAAGCAATCCGCAACTATAAGAACGATGTAGCCAATGCTAGCGCAGGGGGTCTCTGCTTGTCGGAAAACGGGTGTGAAACGAAAAAATGTATGGCACCGTTAACGTTCCGTCAACAAAACATCGGAGCCATTTCATTGAAGCACCTGCGCTAATAACCGAGCTTTAACCGTGATATTGAAGGAATATTAAATGAATTATATAAGGAGTAAACGTTGGTGTAAAGTGGCGAAGCTGAAGTCAGCTGCTTATTCGAATTACCCGTTCCACCTTAAATGGTGCAGCAGTTCCATTCTGGCGCCTGAGGCGTTATAATAACTGCTGCACCATTTAAGGTGGAACGGGAAAATTCCAGTAAGAAGCAGACTGCAGCCTCGTTGGAAAGAGTCTATGAAGGATGGCTGAGGTAGCCTATCATACAGCCCCGGCTGTAGTGGTACAGTGGTAGATGATATGGGTTATTTTTTTGTTATTTTTGTGTTTGTGTGTTAACGTGTGTCTGATTTGTTGTCTTATTTGAACAGTCGCTGTCTGGGGAAATCGTGGACGTGTCGCTGGATTTCGTTGGGGAGGATGACAGAGCTCGACGGACCACAAAAATACGGTTTAGCCTCACTTTCTCCCTCCTGTCTCTGATAAAATGCAGTCTAACCTCACCTTCTCCCTCTTATCTCTGATAAAATACAGTCTAACCTCACCTTCTCCCTCCTGTCTCTGATAAAATACAGTCTAACCTCACCTTCTCCCTCTTATCTCTGATAAAATACAGTCCAACCTCACCTTCTCCCTCTTATCTCTGATAAAATACAGTCTAATCTCACCTTCTCCCTCTTATCTCTGATAAAATACAGTCTAATCTCACCTTCTCCCTCCTGTCTCTGATAAAATACAGTCTAATCTCACCTTCTCCCTCCTGTCTCTGATAAAATACAGTCTAATCTCACCTTCTCCCTCCTGTCTCTGATAAAATACAGTCTAATCTCACCTTCTCCCTTTTATCTCTGATAAAATACAGTTTAACCTCACCTTCTCCCTCCTGTCTCTGATAAAATACAGTCTAACCTCACCTTCTCCCTCTTATCTCTGATAAAATACAGTCTAATCTCACCTTCTCCCTCTTATCTCTGATAAAATACAGTCTAATCTCACCTTCTCCCTTTTATCTCTGATAAAATACAGTTTAACCTCACCTTCTCCCTCCTGTCTCTGATAAAATACAGTCTAACCTCACCTTCTCCCTTTTATCTCTGATAAAATACTGTATAACTTCTCTTCTCCCTCCTGTCTCTGATAAATTACTGTTTAACCTCACCTTCTTTGCTGAAAAAACAGTAGAGACTAGCACTCATTAAGCTGGTATATGCTGGTCTGGTGCTGCTTTAGCTTTTCACCCAGCATGAACATGCTGGAGGAACGGAGTACCAGCATCCCAAACAGAACATGTTGTTGTCGAAAGAAAAACCTCTCCATTTTTGTCATTTTTCAGTTTTTGACATAATTTGAAAACACCTTTTACACTGTGTGGAAATTTCATGAAGAATGGACAAAAAGAAACGGCCAAAAATGACTTGGAAAAAAGTCTGGTTCCACTGACTTACATTAAAAGTAGAGTAGTTTTTTCCTTTTCCTGTACAGTTATCATTTTGTAGATACAAGATTTTTCCTTCCGACACAGCAGTATGCTTGTTTTGATGATATATGATATCCAACCTGTCTCTCATAACACATGGGTTGACCTTATTTTGTGTTTGTCCTCATGAGTTGATATCACAGCGTTAAGGATTCTCTTGGTTTAAAAAGTGAACCTGATCCATTTGATAGCTTCCTAATGGCTTAAAGGTATCCTGCAGGAAACAAGTGGTCTCTGATGGTAGCCATTAATCCAATTCCCGCTGGAAAGCAATACCTTTAGGTTTCTAATGTTGTAATAATCCTTTTTCAGCAGGGATGAGAAAGGAGTAGCGCAGTGTTTGTCAGCTCAGCTCAGGTCCCTGGAGGCCCACTGCCCTGCAGTTTCTAGTGTTTTCCTGCTCCCAACACACCCGATGCAGTTAATCAGCTCATTAACAGCTCATTATGGAGTGGCTATAAAGTGGCTGTGTTAAAGCAGGAAAAGCACTATTGGGCATCCAAGACCAGCGCTGAGAAACACTGGTATGGAGGTTAACGAGTCCACTGGGCAGAAATAATGAATATTATGACGATTGTTAAACAGTTTGGCTGGTGTAATTTATACCACTACCACTATTAGTACTGCTTATACGACTATTACCACTACTAATAGTAATAATAACTAGTAGAGAAAAGTTTGTGAACAAAGTTTAGGTTGGCTTGACAAAGTCATAGACAGCTGTCGATTGTTTTTGCAATCTTAATCGAGTTTATACAATAACCTAAAACATACAAGTCCAGGTGGTTGCTAGGGTGTTGTTAGGCAATTGCAGTGGTATCTCAGGAAGTTGTACATGTTGCACGGCCATCCCAGGTGGTTGCTAAGCTGCTACCAGACCATTGGTATGGCATCCTAGGTGGTTTCTAATGTGCCACTAGACCATTGGTATGGAATCCCAGGTGGTTTCTAAGTTGCTACTAGACCATTGATATGGTATCCCAGGTGGTTTCTAAGGTGCTACTAGACAATTGGTATAGTATCTCAGGTGGTTTCTAAGGTGCTACTAGACCATTGGCATGGTGTCACAGGTGGTTGCCAAGTTGTTAACAGTACCAATAAAAGCACAGAATAAACATTTGGCCAAGCTGACTTCATAATAGACTGCCCCAAAACTCAGTTTGCTGAAAGGTAGCCCCTACCAGAGCTGCCAGAGAACTTAGGACATACACCTTACACCTACTACCTAAAAAAACGGTATCAAGATTGTTTAGCCTCCCATGATGTACAAACGGTTGAATTCTCGGATATTTTAAAAGTTATTTTCATTGTGTCGTTTGGCCTGGTGTACATTGTTGTTATGGTGTTGCACGGCCATCCCAGGTGGTTGCTAAGCTGCTACCAGACCATTGGTATGGTATCCCAGGTGGTTTCTCAGGTGCTACTGAACCATTCATATGGTATTCCATGTGGTTGCTGAGGTGCTACTAGACCATTGGTATGGTATCCCAGGTGGTTTGTAAGGTGCTACAAGACCATAGGTATGGTATCCCAGGTGGTTTCTAATGTGCTACTAGACCATTAATATTGTATTCCAGGTGGTTTCTAAGGTGCTACTAGACCATTGGTATGGTATCCCAGGTGGTTTCTAAGGTGCTACTAGACCATTGGTATGGTATCCCAGGTGGTTGCTAAGGTGCTACTAGACCATTGGTATGGTATCCCAGATGGTTACTAAGGTGCTACTAGTCCATTGGTATGGTATCCCAGGTGGTTTCTAAGGTGCTACTAGACCACTGGTATGGTAACCCAGGTTGTTTCTAAGGTGCTACTAGACTATTGATATGGTGTCCCAGGTGGTTTCTAAGTTGTTAACAGTACCAATAAAAGCACAGAATAATAATTTGGCCAAGCTGACTTAATAATAGACTGTCCCAAAACTCAATTTGTTGAAAGGTAGCTCCTACCAGAGCTGCCAGAGAACTTAGGACATACACCTTGCACCTACTGCCTTTGCAGTAAAAAAAAGAAAATCTGTATAAAGATTGTTTATCCTCCCGCGATGTACAAACAGTTGATTTTTTGGATATTTTAAAAGTTATTTTCATTGTGTCGTTTGGCCTGGTGTATATAAACACAATTAAAATCTAACCTATAAAACAGGGCCAACTGTAACAATCCGTGATTCATTTAAAATTTGTATTTATATTGTGAAAACAGTTAACCTGGAAATTATGGATCTACAGTGTTTCTGCAGGTTGTTATCTCAATTAGACATGGGTGACCCAACATTGGCTAACTGCCAGCAACAAGAAGAAGAAAGGTGCAGCTTTGGCCCCAGTAGAAGGGCATTTCCTCCTTTTCTCCAGCTCCATTGAGTGCCTTTACGATTCATTACCATACCACATTCCATAGCTTTTTACCGTTAAGGAGGAAGTTCACTAAAGAAAATTCAACTTTTGAACTGTTCTGTTATTTCCTGAGTGTGATAGTTCTGTCAGTGTGTCAGTGATTTGAATACGTCAGTAATTAAAGATGTCTACTTTCAGCTAATTTTGGGCTGTTTTGTGAGCGAAAAGGGAGGAAAATGATCAACCAGATTCTCCCCATAGCTACTGTTACAGCAAACAAAGAATTTGATCAATGCAAAAAGACAGGCGTACAGAGATATGAAAGTTTTGGTGTAGGTAAAACTTTATTACATTGAAAAAAAGGTGCATTAAGAGATACTTTCATGATTTTTTACTGTTGGGTTGCCACTCATCTGGAGACATTGTGTTGTTATTATGATGACAGTCTTGTTGTCCATCAGACAGCGCTGACAAGGGCACTATCCTATCGCCCCTATTTTGAGTTCTGCATTCATGAGCTGTTTGACTGGATTATGACTTACTTACTCAGCTGGTTCCAAGTAAGTCCACATTCCTCACAAACAGTACTGTGCAGAAGTCTAAGGCATCTAAGAACATTATGTAAACCCTTTTGTATTGGCAGCAAGTTTGTTTTTGCCAGTAGAAACACTATATAATTAGAATAAATACACACAAACATAAAAAGTAACACATTTTGTATTTGGAAAAAAAGTAATTGATATCTTTTGAGTTTGAAGAACAAATCTTGACTCCAGATTTCTCCTAGATGACCCCAGCCATCACATGGTCTTATTCAATTTCTATTTTTGGGCCTTTTTCCAATTTTCTCACCAATTCGATTGTGTCCAATCCCACCCACTAGTGAAGTCCACCCCAAATACAATACCACCAGCGCTAGGAGGGTGAAGGCAAGTACAAGGTTCTTCCGAGTCATGTGAAGCACCACCACATCTTTTTGAACTGCTGCTAACGCTACATCACTGGTCTGAACGATGTTTGGATTAGAACACTGACTTGTTACGTCAGCTAACAGACGGCTAGCATTGCTAGTTGGTATCACACCGAGTGATGGTGGAGATGTGAGGCCATTCTACCCACCCATCCTACCCTCTCTTGGCCATGGATGGCTGTACCGGGGATAAAACTTGTGATATCTTGATGATAGGGCCAACACTTAGACAGCTGCATCTCTCAGGAGGCCTTGGACTTAAATTTCATCAGCAGCACACATGATTTAACACAATCAAGTATTAATCAGCCAAACCAAGTATCCTCTCCAGATGTGTACACTTGTTACACCGTCATGAGTCTGTGGCACTAATCAGGGAAAGCTTTTTGAACGTTGAGTAAATGCTGCTTTCAGTACTTCACAATTGTGCTTTTCTTCAATAAAACAGACTAAAGTTGGGCTCTGAGTGGCCCAAACACAATCACTGGGAGACGAAGAGTTTAAACAAAAGAATTGTCAGTTAGAGTTGGCAGTTAGCGTTCTCCTCCAAGCGTGTTGAGTGTTCTCCATTGGTGATGTTGCGTTAGCAGCAGTTTGAAAAAATGTAGTGGGTGGCTTAACTTGTGCCAGTGGAAAGCACTTCACTAGCTTTCTCTAGCTTCCACTGTCACAAACTTGACTACCTAAAGGGTGGAATTGGCCACAACCAACCTGGGGAATAAAAACAGGGTAAAATAAATAATAAATCATGTCATCATGTCTGGTATGTTGACAGTGTTGCCTCTTGTGCTTCCCATGCTTAGGTAAGATTAGCATTTGGGTGTGAAATTTGGTCGCACAATGTGATGTGAGTGTCCTTTGAGCAGTGTTCTCTCAGCACTCTCTTCCTTTATTTCTGTGATGCCAAACACTCTCAGAAAAAAAGGCCCTAAACAGTCAGTGGGGTGGTACAGCTTAAGTACCTTGAGTTAGGGATCATAATTGTACTGTATTTCATTCAAATGGTATTTTTTTAAAGTTGTATTGACTCCACTCACCCTCATATCTCCAGGGACCGTATTACAGAAACATCTTAAACTCTGACACCTTATCTGTTTACTCACCATGACAACTTTAGCTAGGACTGAATTTATTACTGAACAACAGTTCTTAAGTTCATAATCTTATCCATTAACTCCACATAAGAAAACAGTAGAAAAGCATCCTAAATTTCCAAAATACTAAAATAACTTCTGATTTAACCATCCATTTCTGTTGTTTTTAGGCAGTGAAGGGCAGCATCGTTCACTATAACTGTAATTGGCATAACGGCATTACATTTGTCTATATTACAAAAAGGTGGTTTCACTTTCTGTTTTTGTTTTTTTTTTCTACCTCTGTTATAAAAACACTGCAGACACGACCTCCACCACCGTCCCCTCGTATTATCTTCATGTGTTAGACAGTTGAACATGGCTGTTTATTCAGGAGGAGTAATTTTAGCATGGTCGGCTAAAGCGTTTAGGGAAATAGAAACTGAAAATGGGGAGCGGCGATGCTCTGATAAACAGCAGCAGGCGCTGTTACATTCTTAACTTCCAGTTTATTGCACTTTTGACCTCTTTTACACCCATAACAGTACTTGTCTAGCTAACTACAGGCTAACTAAATTACTTTTTTAACATTTTTTGATTGTTTTCATTTCAGCTGTGCTAAGATTTCCTAACTTGAGATAAGATGCTGTAATAAAAGAGTCCCAAATAAGATAAGATTTGCCTTTATAATACAAATTTGTGAAAAATCTTATCTTGACCTTTCAGAGCTTAACTTAAGATAAATGATAGGACATTTCTGTAATACGGCCCCAGCTTTTTATTTTACTGCTCTGTTTAAGAACATTAGATTATGTAAATATCTACAAATATGTACTTTTCCTCTGGGGAAAATATTTAGTTGTACCTTTGAGGGTACATTTACACCAATCAGGCATAACATTATGACCACCTCCTTGTTTCTATGCTCATTGTCCATTTTATCAGCTCCACTTACTATATAGGTGCACTTTGTAGTTCTACAGTTACAGACTGTAGTCCATCTGTTTCTCTGATACTTTGTTAGCCCCCTTTTACCCTGTTCTTCAGTGGTCAGGACCCCCATGGACCCTCACAGAGCAGGTACTGTTTGGGTGGTGGATCATTCTTTCAAAATGAATTCTTTCTGATGGTGTAGAAGAACCACTTTTCAGTTGAGTTTTCAAAGTGCCTTTCATTGAAAGGTCCTTGAGGGAACCAAACATGATTCTTCGGTATCGTTGCTCCATTGAGTGTTGTGTGGTTCTTTGTTCTTACTCTGTTTCTAATTTTCCAGGCATCCACTGGCCACATTCTTCCACTTATTTTTCCGTGTCAGTGCCATCATTGCCTATTTGTGCTGTGACTGGTTCAGCAGGAGTTTCGTCATGTGCTTTCTCATGGTCATCACTTTGCTCTCATGTGACTTCTGGTCTGTGAAGGTAAAAAATAAGACAGAATAATAGAGCTCTTTAATAAACAGTTGAGTGGAATGACGTTGTGGGGAAGGAATTCAGAGAAGAAAGGTAGTTTAGCAAGAAGGGAATGAGTCTGCATATCAGTGCCATTCCTTTGTAGGATACGTAAAACTTTGGGCCAAAAAAGTTCAGCCCTGTTGTCAAAAATGTTGCGACACTGCAAAATATAAATAAAGACAGAAATCAATGATATACATTTAAACCCTATATTTAATTGAAAATAGTACAAAGACAACATATCAAATGTTGAAACTGAGGAATGAGATTTTTTAATATAGGCCCTTTTTGAATTTGAGGCCAGCAACATATTTAAAGACTGATAAAACTATGTGGTGCTAACAAAAACACCTGGTGGTTGATTGGTAACAGGTCAGTAACATGATTGGGTATAAAAGAGAATCTCAGAGAGGCTGAGTCTTTCAGAAGTAAAGATGAGGAGGGGTTCACCACTCTGTGAAAGAGTCAGTAGGCAAGTAGTGCAACAATTCAAGAATAATGTTTCTCAGTATGATATAGCAAAGAACTTGTATTTCATCATCTACGGTACATGATATCATGAAAAGATTCAGAGAATTATGAGAAATCTCTGTATGCATAGGACAAGGCTGAAAACCAGTATTTGCTGGCTGATCTTTGGGCCCTCAGGCGGCACTGCATTAAAAACAGACATGATTCTGTAGTGGAAATTACTGCATGGGCGCAGCAACACTTCTGAAAACCACTGTCTGTGAAAACAGTTTGTCTCTGCATCCACAAATACAAGTTAAAGCTCTAAAACGCAAAGAAGAAATCATGTATAAACAGGATCCAGAAACGCTTCCACCTTCTCTGGGCCTGAGCTCATCCTGGACACTGCATCCTCTACTATCTGGCTTGTTTTCAGTGCACAGTTCAAAAGCCAGTATTCATGATGGTATTGGGATGCATTAGTGCACATGGTATGGGTGACTTGCAAATCTGTGAAGGCACCACTAATGCTAAACAATACATACAGGTCTTGCCGACACATGCTGCCATCCAGATGACGTCTTTTTCAGGGACGATGTTGCTTATTTCAGCAAGACAGTGTCAAACCACATTCTGCACATATTACAACAGCATTGCTCCATATTAAAAGAGTCCAGGTGGTAAACTGACCTGATCATCATTTGATATGTTGTATTTGTGCTATTTTCAATTAAATATAAGGTTTACATGATTTGCATTGCACGTATTTACAAGTTGCATAGTGTTACAGCTTTTTGGAAACGGGGCTGTATGTATCACAAGAGAAAAATGTAAACAAAGACTTGTAAACAAAGAAAATGAGAAAATGAGCAGTGAATGTTTTTAAAAAGTTTGAATTCTCATTATTTGTATGTGCAACGTACAGTTTAATGTTCTGATATCTAATCATTTACTTGTGGAATTTATTCTTTTGTTATATATCCTGTGACTCACCTTCTTCTTGTGCTTGGTGCTTAGAATGTGACTGGCAGGCTTCTGGTTGGCCTGCGCTGGTGGAATCAGATCGATGAAGATGGGCGGAGCCACTGGATGTTTGAGGCTAAGAAGGCAAGTGAGAGAAACTTCTGAAAGCTGTCCTGTCCTGTCAACCACGTACTATTTCTCTCTGTTTCTTAGTCTACTGTACAGAATACTGATAACAGTAAAGAGCATAAACCTGGGAGAATATTCAAATAAATTTTAGTTTGGTGCTCTCACAAAAAAAAAACTAAAGGCAGAATAAAAAAGACATAAATTGGGCAGAATAAACAAAACTAAATTAGGCTGAATTGAAAGAATAGACATAAATTAGGCAGAATTTTAAAAAATCTAGATTAGGCAGAATATATATATATATATATATATATATATATAAAAATTAGGCAGAATAAAAAATAACTAAATTAGGCAAAATTAAAAAAAAGACAAATTAGGCAGAATTAAAAAAAACGTACATTAGGCAGAATTTAAAAAATAATTAGGCAGAAATAAAAAAAAAAACATAATTAGGCAAAATAAAAAATAGACACATTAGGCAGAAATAAAAAAGAAAAAATAGACTTAAATATGAGAGAATAGGAGTATATAGAAGTATATTTTAGCATATTTACATAGCATATAAGACAGATCATTGTATTTACAGGGGAGCAGGTGTTGCACTAAATGGTCTGAGGTAGTTTACAACACAATATATAAACATAACTAGGAGCAGCAGTATTTACAGTGTGTGTGTGTGTGTGTGTGTGTGTGTGTGTGTGTGTGTGCACATGCAGGGTCGCAACTCTAGTGGCACAGAAGCAGAGGCTCAGATTTTCTGGTTGGGGTTGATCGTCTGCCCTCTCGTTTGGACTACCTTCTTCTTCACAACGCTCTTCTCCTTCAAGATGAAATGGCTGGTAATGCATACACTGTTTTAGACACACACACACACACACACACACACACACACACACATGCATTAACACAAACCAGATGCTCATATTTGTGAAGAGAAACAGAACAGTACTGCCACATTCTTACAAAGCTGTGAAAAACTGAGTACAATGATTTTTAATTCAGTGTTTGTGAAAACAAGCCGTTTAAGAAAGAATAGAAAAAAATGTAAATCAGATGCTGAGAATAAATGAATAAAAGAAGAAAATAGCATAATGGATGGACATCCAGTCAGCTAGAGAGCGGAGTGCAAATTAACAAGGGGGACATGTAGGACAGAGTCAAGTAGTACATATGATCTTCTCATATTCCCTTAGCGTCGACATCTGTGATTATTTGGTAATATAGCATCATTTTGAAGCATATAAATAACTGACAGTGAGAGCTAGCAAGCCTAAAACACAGCCTCCACACGGCAGAGTTAGTTTTAGCTCAGTGTTAAAGCAAAGCCTCCCAAGGAGTCTATGAGAGAAGTTCTTACCCCTTCCATATTACTTCAGAACAGTTCATTGTATTCTGAAATTGTTTATAACTCATGAAAAACATTCAAAAATAGATTTCATACAAGTATATTTCAGTTCTATCATGCTGATATTTGCTTTCTACTTTAGTCAAAAGTAAATTTGCCATGTTTGCCACTATTTTCACTGTTCATATTTATTTTGATGACTATTTTTATGTGTTTAGGTTGGAAAGCTTGTCTGGTTCAAATAACATAGAACTGTATAAAATTAATGTTTTGCAGACTTCAGTTTTCTAGTTTATGTTACAGTTAGCCCCTGAGTCATGACTGGATCATCAAATTATAAACCCCTGGGCACAAATGTTTGGTAGACCCCTATCTTGGACTGTTTGTTGTTTGTTTTAAATAGCGTTTCAACTGTGTTGACCTGTACCAACCATCAAATATAGACTTTAAAATCTAAACTAAGTTTACGTCATGCACCTTGTATGGTATTATTAGATAATATCTTCTCGTCCATTTCGTCTAAACTGTGCTGACCTTCCCTGGTTGCATAAAAACGATAGGAAGTTGCCAGAAAGTACAATTTCAGAACTGGCTGCCTCGTAGATTTGACAACAAAGATGAGGAAAAACACCAGCGAACTTAAGAAGCTGACTATCCCAGCTCAGCCCAGGCTAAAGCATAGTGCCGCAGCAAGCAGGAAAAATGTTAATGCACTTATGCCTTTATGTTATTTGTGTCTTATTTTATATTTTAGCTTCTGAACTCCGTTGATTTTGTAAATATACGCTCATTCCAGATTTGATGCCTGTGACATGTTCCAAAAATGTTGGGTCAGGAGCATCTTTACTAACTTAATAAATGTTTGGGACTAAAGAGAAAAAGATCCAGTTTTGAAAATGGAATTTTTTGTCATTCTTCAGTTATACGCCTTTTCAGCTGTGCAAGCATAAAAGGCCTGTGTTGTTGTATTCGCTTAATAAGGCACTCATTTTCATTGGGAAGCAGAACTGGACTGCAGGCAGGCCAGTCTAGCACCTCTCTGATTACGCAGCCATGCTGTTGTAACAGTGTGCCTTGGTGTTGTCATGTTGAAATAAGCATGAACCTCCCTGCCCGGCATCTAAAAGGCAGCGTATGTTGCTATAAATTGTGCTCAGCGTTAATGGTCACTGCAGGCTACTTATTAGTAGCTGCAATACCATGACAGACCCTGACTTTTGAACTTTAAGCTGGTAACAATCTGGATGGTCCTTTTCTGCTTTGGCCCAGAGAACACAATGTACAAGGCTGACTCGTCAGACCACAAAGCATGTTTTCACTGTGCATCGGTCCGTTTCATATGACTTCATATGAGCCCATGCAGTGATATCCATCATAGAAACGTGTTGGTTTCTAATGCAATGTCATCTGAGGAGTCAAAGGTCACTGGCTTTCAGTTGTGCTTTTTGGCCTTGTCCTTGACACAGAAAGATCTGTCCAAATTCTCTGAATGTTTTGATGATACGCACTATAGAGGGTGAAACATCTGAAATCCTTTGCTCACTGAAGAATGTTATTTTCAAACTGTTGGAGTTTTTGCTGATGAATGTTTTGGCAAAAGATAAGGCCTTTCCATCCAAGCATGATTGCATCACCAGTTTCAGATGTTTTTTGAACATTTCGCAATGCTCCACGTCTTAAATTGCCACTGTCCCAACTGTTTAGACCATGTTGCAGGCTTCTGTTTCAAAATAAGCTTGTTTTTACAAAAAACAATGAAGTTGACAAGATTATTATTATTTTTTTTAATTATTTAGTTCAAATACAGGTCAAAGGATGTTTATTATCACTACTTTTGGCTTTTCTGTGCATTTTACCTGCTGTTACACCTGTTTCGGAGTTGCACCTTTGCGGGGAAGTGGCGCAGATCACTGCTACTTACAGCAATGCAGTATTATTTTTTACATTTTTTTTTAAAAAACTCTGATATTTTTGGAAATGGTCATCCTCTACTCTGTCGGTGTATTGGGTTTCGCTCCGCAGGCATCTTTTTAATATGTGGTGGTCCAAATTCAAACTACCTTCACAGGAAACTTTGGTTTCCTGCCAAACCAAAAGTTAATGGAGCGTAGTGAAACAGTTGCAGTGACTGGAACAAAAATGAAGTTCATGTTTAGGAATGATGTTGAGAGCGTCAGGATTTTGACTGGGCATGTCGCACTGCTGTTGGTAAAGTGAGTCAAGGCAGCTGTTTGAAGTCTTCACTGCTCCTGTGGGCCCTCTGGTGGCTCACATCCATAAAACTCATGGGATGATCCGGGCCTGCTGTAATGTTTGCACTTGCACCGCTTTCAGCTGAACTGTTCCCCAACAGAAGGTGCTACAAAAAGTTTACAATTTAATTTGTAGCAGAGATGTTGTTGGTTGCTTGTATACAAAACACATTATATATTAAAAAATGATTTAACCATGAAACAAAATGTGTTAGGCTGTGCCCCGATCTCTCCTACTTGTTGCTGTGCAGTTTCTACAGCTACTATACGCTGGTCTGTAATTGCTCTCAGTCTTTTTTATGAAACATGCTCAACGTTCCAGAAGTACTGCACCCCATGATAGCAATATCATATCATTATATTGCCCCGACACGCCACGGAGAAAAATCACACTGACTCATTTTTGCTATATTCTCTGCATGTGTCTCTTCAGGCTTTGGTTGTAGCAGGTTTTTCTCTCCAGGCTGCAAATCTTTATGGCTACTTGCGCTGCAAGGCTGGGGAACAGGAGACCCTCCCCAAATCAGCATCCCAATACCTGGGGCAGCAGTTCATTCAAAAGGTAGAACACGCATACCATAGGTTTGCATGATATGAACAAATTTTTGGATGGCCATAATTAGATATTTCAAATAACGTCATTTGCAATGTGAAAAATTACATTAATTTGTGGTTTTTGATATGTAATCTTGCACAATTGCAACCTCTTGTACCAAACGGTCTTAAAAGGGTCAAGAAAAGTTGGAGAACATGAGCTACAGTGCAGAACTCAGAGGCCACCCTTCATTTGTTTAAGTCAAAACGGCTATTATGTACAACATACAAATTTTTTGGGAGGTGTTTCTGAAGGGAATATGATATAAGATAATGCACTTGCATAAAGCAGAGGAAAGAGAAATGAAAATAATGGGAAAAATGGGTTTAAAGTTTAAAGATTTAAAGATCTTTAAAGAAGACCAGGTAGACACCAAACTGTCCCCATCAGATAAACAGCACTTAAAGCTTTCATCTTTGAGAGAGAGGAGAAAATCAAGCTGCTTCAGATCTGAAAACGTCCACAGACGACTCAGCGCTATGGGTCTGAAAGGATGTGTAGCTGTCAAGAAGCTCTTACTGATAACAAAAAAGAAGAAAATTTGCAAATGCTTGTGTTCTCAGAACACTAGACTGACCACCCCAAGAGCCCAGAGCTCAACATCATTGAAAGTGTTTGGGTTTACTTGGATGGACAGAAGCCGAAAAATGCAACCAACTTCTCAGGCCTGATTCGCACTTGTGCTTTTCATTTTGGTGCACATGTTAAATGGTTAGTGCTTTCACACAGGCTGTGTGTGCGAAGCGGCAGAGCATCCTAGACACCATGGTATTTAGAAAATAGACCCAGTGCTGATTTTGTTCTGAGCAGAATACACTGAAGTAAGCCATGGAATTCAATGAAAAAAAAAACTGTATGAAAATGTTATTTTTTTTATTTAATTGAATTCATGATGTAATACTGGTTTAACATTCTGTGCTGCAGACAGATTTCCCGGTTGGTCTACTGGGGTTAAACTTTGGCCTAATTACAAGTCAGAATGCCGTCGAGGATAAACAAATATATCGTGTACTTTTATAAATAAGCAGAGTGACTGATGTGACCATCTGTCCGTCCGGAAAAAGGAATGTCTGTATAACTTTCACGCTGCTCGGCTCCAAAGCTTAAACGCTGTATGTATGAGAAGCCAGTGCGTTTGAGCTGTAGTGCTCACTGCCACATCACTCATACCATGCAGAGGTAGCATGTCTGAATCAGGCCTAAGACTGAACTTTGGAGGGGTGGAAAAAAAAAACCTTGCAAATTTTTTGAAAAACTGAAAGCAAGTCTCCTGAAAAGAATGGAACCTGTAATAAAGGTAAAAGATGGACACATGATATACTGAGAAAATTTATATTTACTTTTCTATTAAATACATGCTATTTTTCTGATGCTGAATGAATAACTTGTACTAAATGATGGGTGGTCTCTGATACTGCACTCAATGAATTTTCCAGTACTTTTTTACCTAAATTACTATTATTATTATTATTTGTGGTAATTGACTGTATGCAGTAGATAGAGATTAGATACAGAAGATGGATATTAGTTTGAAAAATGCAATGTGATGTTTCCATGTACTCAATTTGTGTTCTATTTCTCTCATTCGTTTCAGCCTGATATCATATTCGGAATACTGTAACAGAAGAGGAATGCTGTGCTTTCCAGTGCACATAGCCTAAGCAGGAAATCATGCCTGTTGCTCATGTCACATATTGATTAAACCAAATCATGATACCGTGTTTGTTGTCACATCTTGGCAAGCGGCAAACTAAGTACATAATCTGCTAATGACATGTATTAATTTTGTGCCTGAGTGTATAAATGTGTCATGCATACACAAGTATATCAGCTAAGAGGTGAGCCAAGCTAAAGTGCTTTGTAGAACATTCAGGATTTATGAAGGTGCCTTTTGTGATTGTTGACATTGCCGTCTGTCACCACTAGATGTCGCCACTTCCCTAAGAATTTGTAACGTATCTCTGTAACCTGAGAAACAGAAGGTCTGCAGAAAAATGAAGGCTGTGAGGGACATTGCATGTCAGTTGTTATTTAAGTCACTTTGCCTGGTTGGAGTGCTCTGTTTCCAGAGTTAACCCTCAAAATTATCCACAAATCTTGTGCATCTTGGAATATTTTGTCTTTGATAGGACGTGCACTATAGCAGAGGTGCTCAGGCCTGGTCCTGGTCCTGGAAATCCACAACCCTGGAGAGTTCAGATGCTCTTGAAGGCCTTCGCTATGTGGATCAGGTGTGTTAGGTTAGAGTTGGAGCTAAACTCGGCAGGGTGGTAGATCTCCAGAGGATTGAGCATTCCTGCACTAAAGCTACTAAAATTAGCATTAGCATGTTACCTTGTAAGTGGCCCAAAAATGATTTTCTCTTTTTAGGAACCAAACATCACTTGATTTTAGTAACACACCAACCTGAACTTCCTTCATATGAATTCATTTTGCATGAGAAGGCTCCCTACATGGTACGGTAACAGCCAGCAGACGTCCAGATTTAATTGCAAACCCAAGCGCTAACACGCTATGAACTTCGGATCCAATGGGAGACAGCTATGCCATCCTCATGCAAATGCTAATCAGTATGCAAATGTGCATCCCTGAAGGACAGAAATGAGAGATTTCAGTGTCAGCTTGTGTACTCTGTGATTTCAACAGGTTTCAGAGAGTAGGAGGGGTGAATTTGCTTGGCTCCATCTCTCTCCCTCACTCTGTGGTTTCTCAGTTGGAGTAGGAGTAGCTCGCCACCAGAAACTCAACCGAGCTAGCATGTAGCCTTTGTAGCTAAGATTTTGAGAGAGTCTGGATTCTATGGACAAAACAGCCTGCTTATCACTTCTCTGACCTTTCTGGTATGATATTGCTTCACATTGCTTATCAGAAGTCATTCAGGAACAAGCAGATTTGTTGATGTGAAATAAATCATTCCTCATTTTTGTTGACAAAAAATTCACTGGCTCGAGTGTTTTGTTCTTTTTTATAAAGAAAAGCTGCAGCTAGCAAGTCCTTAGTTCTTAGCAAAGGGTGGGAAGGAGGTTCTGTACTTAATACCACCTTTGTGAAACTGACCATGTTAAGGCCTTTGTACAAACATGTTCAGATGACTGTCGGGTAGATTTGATCTACTCGTCAGAGGCGTTTGCACAAACCATGGCAGTTTGATGAGAATTGATTTAGAATTTTAGTGAAAAATTGAGTCCTAACACCACACCGAACACACTGTCCATATTACCTGATAACACAGTAACTGAATCCAGATATCCTCCACACAGGCTAGTGTTTTTTTGTTAAATCGATGACTAAACGTCCCTTTTTCAAGCTAACTGAACTGTGTTTGGACTCTAATTAATCAGAATAGTGTAGTAATGTCATAAGGAACCCAACATAAAGCTGTTCAATTGACTTTTACTGTACATTCAAAAACAAGAACTAGATTCAACAGAACCTGGAGTTTGAATTTTAGTTCATTTTGAACCTACTTGAGAGAAGGCTTTAGCCTTACCGCAATTAATGATCATATTCTGTTTTTGGTCATTCTATGCCACTCTAAAGCAACTTATTTGGTAGTAAGCTCCTTATTCCATGCTAGTCATAGTTAGCATAACCTACTGGCTAAGATGAAATTTTTTAATCATTTGCAGAATCAAGCAATCAATCAAGTGTGAAGATAGGAGCAAAAACGCTAGTTCTATAGAGGCTTGCATAAATGCTAATAGTGTTAGCTTCCTAATCAGGTAACCTTATCAAACTCTATGCAAGGTATTAATTCTAAAAATTCCAACTTAGGCATCAACATACCATTCTAGTTTGTATTCTGGTGCACATTTTAGTTGTGTAATAGCGCTTAGTGACTTTATCTTCACCTGGAAGTGTCATTTGCTTCATCTGCAAGTGTTACCAAAGGTAGAGGAGAAAACTTTCGAGTACTATTAGGTCCTGTTGGTACCTTAAACAGGTACCCAATAACATAAAACTGGAACCTTTGGAACTGGACTGATGGCATTTGGAAAAGGGAAAAAGCATAGTTCCAGTTTTCTGGTGCCAAAGGTTCTGGGAATTTGTGCAGTGGAAAACACCTTTTGTTCCTCAGTATGACAACCTACCACCAGTGTGACCTTAATTTAAGACATTTATGGGCTCTCACACTCCGGGATCCAATCGAAACATAAACTCTGTCCTTTTCCTGCAAAGCTACATCACATGACTCCAGACGTCTGGTGTCGTGCCTGTGCCACACTTGACAACCATAAAAATGTGGAAAGTTCCTTTATGGTCACGTCTCATTTGACAAGGAAAGAAGACCTAATTAAGCATAAGAATCTGAGCTCTTGGAGGCTCAGTGAGTAACTCACGGCAGTTCCATACCAAAGGAGTGAAGTCAGTTATGAGCTTGAGCAACTCTTGAAGGGCAAAGAGAACCTGAGGGGATTCTCTGAAAGTGCAACTGGATAAAGCTGTGCTAGAGATGGAGAGACAGTAACAAGCAGCATTGGTAATAAAAACAGTGTAAAAGATAGATGACCCGGGACTGTCTGAAGCAGACGACAAATGTCTGGGGAATAGCTAGGTCAGTGACATGGAGGATAAGGCCTGTCAGCTACTGAAGGCCTGTCAACTTGCCAGTCACCCTCTAAACAAGGGGGCTTCTAAATATTGTATTTTGTGTTTTTGCATTCTTGCTTGACTTCGTCTTCTACTGCCTAATTTAGGGTTCAGTACTGAAGAATGGAAATACAGAGAATGGTTGACCCTCTCAGGTTGACAATGAATATGTGACATCAAAGGATGTTGTAGATAAAAGAAAAAGTATTTTGTGGACACTGCAGGCTGGAGACATACTTTCATTCTGCCCAGAAGGATTGAGTTGTTCCGGCGACAAATCAGGAACACAGCATTTGATTGGTCGACGAGTCAGGAACATAGCCTCTGATTAGTCGACGAGTCAGGAACACAGCCTCTGATTGATCGACGTGTCAGGAACACAGCCTCTGATTGCTCGATGAGTCAGGAACACAGCCTCTGATTGCTCAATGAGTCAGGAACACAGCCTCTGATTGCTTGACGAGTCAGGAACATAGCCTCTGATTAGTCGACGAGTCAGGAACACAGCCTCTGATTGATCGACGTGTCAGGAACACAGCCTCTGATTGGTCGACGAGTCAGGAACACAGCCTCTGATTAGTCGACGAGTCAGGAACACAGCCTCTGATTGATTGACGTGTCAGGAACACAGCCTCTGATTGGTCGACGAGTCAGGAACACGGCCTCTGATTGATCGACGAGTCAAGAACACAACCTGATTGGATACGACATCGCCGACCTGAGATGGTTAACCTTACCTAGATCACTGTACCGGTACAGGCACACTTCCTTCAAAGCCTTCACTTCTGTTTTTTCAAACATCATTTATAAGCATGGTGATGCAATATATCGTTAGGAAGTTTGATTTCTCAGGATTCGATTCCTGTAAACCATTTTATGATGTTATTCACTGCAGTTATGATTGTCTCATTTGCCACAGAAGCACAAAATGAGCAAACACCAGCAAATCTGTGGGTCCTCACCTTCAAAGCCTTGCTGCTCTCCCTAGAGACTTAATCCAATGTGGTCTGATAACACGTCAAGAGTCAGAGATCAGTTTAGAGATCGATAAACTGCTCCATACTAGCCTCTGTTACTCTTTGTCAGAAATTCATATAATTATTCTGAGGGATGAGAGTTTTACCTTTCAAATGAGATCAAGATCGTGACTGTAGTCCAAAGTATGTGGAAACAGTGCTTGTTTTACTTTTAATGCAAAAGTGGGGCGACAATTAACAAGTTAAAGCACTCTGGAAGCGTTCTTGATTCAACCTGAATGTCAGGCATGCATCTGTTGGTGATGCACCAATGAGAATCAGTTGAATATCTCAATTCTTTGCAACTCTGAGATGGTGGAAGAGGCAGGTCAGACCCAGAGGTGCAGTTGTTAGCTTGGATGTTTATATGAACATTTGTTCCATCTTTTGTCCAAATGCCCTGGCTAGCTACTTAGCTAACAATCACATTATAGACCAGTTTCTTGCCACCTGTTTCAACACTGTTTCTAACAGGCCCTCGTCCGATTGGCCATTCCAGTAACCCTTGGGGAAATCCCTGATGCCATCTTAAGGGCTGTTCCATGACTGTATTACCTCAAGTGAAGTGTGTTAGCTGAGCCCTCAGAGGAGCGAAAGATTTGAGAGCAGCAAAAGTTGCCCAGAAATCATTTAACTTAAAGCATATCTTTTCTCAAACCCCCAAAAATGACAAATCTGTTTTTAAGCCAAAGCTTTAAACTAGCTGAAAATGCTTAATATTGCAAAATGATTACTTTTTATTTGCTCGACTTTAGGTTACTACTCTGTCCATTATACATGACCGCTGGTATAATTTCATCACTTTACTGGTAGTTGGCTAGTTAGCATGCTAAAGGCTAAACCATAGAAAAAACATACCTAGATGCCACGTCATCTGTTCTCTATCTGAGGCGATACGTCTGCATGTCCGCCATATTGGAGCGGTCAAGATCCGCTTATGGACAAATTCAATGTATTGAGAGATGATGAGTCTCAGGATTAAATCAGCCACAACTTCTTTATTACTCAACCGATTTTCACCAAATCTGTTTCGTTTTAATCCTCAGACACAGGCTAATCTAGGTTGCACGGACTGCTCTTGGTAGCTTTTATTTCTTTAATAACTGTTTGTGCTAATTAGCCATCTGGACCAGCAGGAAAGTATTCAGTCTGCACCCGACGTTACAAACTGAGTTTAGCGCTGGTTGGTGGCTGATGCACCATTTAAGGTGGAACAGGAAAATTTGAACAAGAAGCTGGCAAATAAGAAGCTAACCTTAGATTTGTGTAAGAAGGTGCTAATGTTAATCTATTATGAATATCTACACGGATTAAGGAATCCTATAATTTACCAAGCTACAAAGCATTAACCATCATCGTAAATAAATAACTACTACATGAAGTTAAGATCTCCTGAATAGACTATGAAATTATAATTATATTAATAAGTTTAATATAAAACGAGAGGAAAAACAATTGCATCACCAACCACACGGCCATATCTATACATAAACATCACACAAACAGTACACATCACACAGACATGAGTGTGGATCGCTGCATTCCCTCTGTTATATAATCATATCCCACTTTCTGAGAGCAATATTATAGAAATAGTGTAATTTTGGACAGTACCTTTCTTAAACTGCTGCTTTGTAATAGTACTGAACGCAGTCCAGCAGCGATGTTGACCACCCTAAAATGGCGGCGCCGTTGATGTGCCTGACTGGACCCTCTGTGGGCTAAACGGCTAACAACAACAAAAAGAAAGGCCTTACCTTACGGCTCTAAAGCAAAGTTTATAGCCCTGCGAAGTTTTATGTGCATTTTGTTCAAACTTCCCGAAAAAATTTTTTTGCTTTGCAGAGTTTGCATGGCTAACCTATTAGCTCAGTGATGATAACCTAGCCAAGGGCAGGTGCATTCCGAAAAAATCCACTCCTTCACTTCTACTGTGAGTAGCCACTTCTCTACACACTTTCAAGTGGTGAATTGAAGTTGATGGACTCATTTAAAAAATTGAACTTGGACATGGATTAAGCCTAAATATTTGATGTAGTTTTAGCCTAAATATGAGTCTAGAGGTGTGATGATCTTTTTGATGTTTCTGCAAAGTACCTGGGCTCCCAGGAACACAAGAACATCCTTTGCATTCTTAATACTGAGAAACACAGCTTGAAGACATTCATTTAAAGGGTCTCTCTCTCTCTCTCTCTCTCTCTCTCTCTCTCTCTCTCTTAAATGTAGGTGTTTCCAGGGGGTCTCAGTGATTAAATCTTGTCTGAAGCTGTTAGGAAGGGTCAAAGACAGTGA